AGGGCGTCACGCTGCGAGGGGGCCGGGTGGGCGCGTCAGCGCAGGGAAAACCGGAGCTGGCGTGCCTTGCTCGCGTCTGCGGCGCTTCGTGGGCCCTGGCCGCTGCCAGGAAGCCTGGGCCTCGACCCTGCGGCCTGGGCGGTACGGGAGAGGGCCACCGGCTGGAGCCAGGTGGCAGGTGGGGGGCCTGGCGTGGGGGTCTGGGCGGTGTCTCTGAGGGCCTCCGGGGTCTCTCCGGGTCGCGGCCGCTTGCGCCCGCCTCCCTCCACCAGCAGCGTGGCTGGGGAGTCTGGAAAAGGGGAGCAGGGGACGAGGGAGGGGTGACGGTGCCAAGACTGGGAGTGGGAGCCTGACCGGGCCGGCAGGCGGAAAACAGTCGTCGGCTGGCCTGCCGTGAGCACACCTGGGCCAGAAGAGGTGCTGCCTTCCAGCTCCGACTGCATCTCGGCCATGGCCCTCGCCTCCTTGCGAAGGGACACGTAGCGCCCGCCCATCTGGCTGGCCCTGGGTGGGGTTGGGATGTGGCTGGGGTCACGCACCAGCCAGACACCTGAGTCCAGGAGCTTGGCAGGAGCGGTACGGGCAGGGGGTGCAGGCCATGCCCCAGCAGGCAGCGCTGGGTCCATGCCCCCGCCCCCACTCCCTGGCGCGGGCATGTACCTTGAGACGAGGGGCAGGTTGAAGGAAGGGCCCAGGCACCTGACGGCCGGGGAGGGAAACATCCTGTCCACCATCGATTTGGAGGATGTGGACTTGCAGGGGGCGTCCGGCTGGCGAGGCGAAAGGGGGGCCTGATGGGGCGTGGTGACCTCCTCCTCAGACAGAAGATCTACAGGCACGTGGGGTTGAAGGAGGGGTTGGGCTGAGACATGCCAGGGCAGGCAGCGCATCGGTCCGACCCGCAGCAGATCATGCAGAAGGAGCTCCTCATTCGATGTCCCGGTGCTGGCGCCCCAGTATGTCACCCGATGAACCAAAGTGGGGAGTCCTTTCGCAAACCACTCCAAACAGGCAGACTTCTCATAAGAAGCAAGGCTGGGTGAGACTTCATCGATTTCCGAGGCTTCCCGGTGACCCCCTCACCCCGAGTCTTAGTCATGTCGGACTCGTGGGCTTTGATGGGTCCCGGGGCGGGAAGCGAGGACTCTGCTCGCAAGATCGCCACCTCCGCCAGGCACCATCGATTGCAGTGGTGGTGAGGGTATCTTGGGCACACGTACACCTTGCTGTCGGGAGGGAAGGGGCGGTAGATCAGTGAAACGCGTCCCGGCTGCGGCACTCACTGCACATGGCACCCGCCCGCTCTCTGGATGTCTGACCCGCCCGAACTCACGCAGAATTTAGGTCCTTTAAAACGGTGGGCTCGGCATGGTCGCACAGGGGTCCGAGCGTGGGGAGATCCTGGGACCTGCCCGCCAGGGTACCGGACGGCATGGGGTCCGGCGAGGGCGTCAGCGCGGGAGCTATCGAGCCCTTCCCGCTGGTTGGTGGGTTGCTCGCAGTGAGATATAGAGCTGAAGTGGGTGCAGAGAAGTCAGTTGTCAGCACCTGTGCAGTATCCGGTACATGCTCGCTTACCCAACAGCGCCCGAATCCGGTGCGGCTCTACTGTAAACATTCAAATGGCAGGAAATGAAGGAACAGAATTTGAACGACATATTCGCCCGCGGCTGCTTCACTGACCCAGACCAATGCCACCTGTACCTTGCCAGTGGAGTGCGTAATCGACGGCGGCATTTTTGTCATCTCACAACAGAAGTCTTGTCCCTAGATGGCGATCCGAGCTGCATCATAGTTGATACGCAGATTTGTACGGCATCCTGTGCTCCACGTGCGCAAAGAAGGGACCCAGGCTTAGGTTTGCAGTAGGGAGATGTGGGTTTTGTCGAGAGTCTGTCGCCAAGCATGAAATCGGTCTCGGTGTTATGACTCTTCCGAGCCGGGTCTGTTGGGTTCACGCTGACCTTCACTGCCTTTCTGTATGTCTGTCTGCAAAGTTGCAAAAACTACACATGATAGGCATGCAGAGAGGCCCTCATTATACGAGCGTCTTTGTGGGGAAGCAGTTTCTGAGTGACATGGCGATATATCGTCAGGACAGATTTACGTTCAGCCAAGTGATGCTGATCAGCCCATTCAACCCAGCAGAAGTGGCTTCTGTCACACATTTTCGCATCTACCTATTGCCACGCCATTCTGCATGGTTTAGGTTCAGTCAGTGCGCCCCCTGCTGTTTCCAGTGTCAGCCATAAGGGTTGCCATAGGGTGGAATGGTATGAAGATGTGATGAGATAGTCCGCCAGTATGTCACATCCTGCCGCGCGCAATACATCCTGAGCACCGAGGAGGGAGGGAGCTGGAGGTTTTCGCCAGTGCAAGGCTGATTGTCCTGCAAAGCTCAAGGGGTGACAGGGCCAAGGGTTTTCAGTCCTCACCAGGAGGCAGGCTAGCTCAGCCTCCGGAAGCGAAGATGTAGAGCGTCGAAGCGTGTTCGTGCATACCTCGTCTTCGACACACAAAGTCTGGAGCCTCCTGCAGAGCTCAAAGGCTTGCTTGCTCTCAACAGACCTCGCTAAAATTGGCAGCAACTCTGTCATGCAGAGCTCGACTTGCAGTCGACGAGTAGGCTTCCAACAATCAGACTCAGAAGCTGCTGTCCACCTTGGAGGCTGTGGTGGCTCTCTCGCAGACTGATCTTCGGACTTCTGGAATTGCATCTTTAGCTTTGACACGGGCGTCTTGTAGATGGTAGCACGTACTCTCGGTGACATGTCGCCAGACACGTCCCTCGTACAGAGCATGTCACCGACATTCCGAGGACATACTACTGCTATTTGAAAATAAGTTTAAGACGGACTTTTCATAGCGGATAAGCACGACACCGCGATTGAGTGTCGCTTCGATTATGCACCTTGAGCTTGGCTGGGCAAGGAGTAACATTATGAGACAGAGTGTGCCCCAAGCTTGCAACTGCTTTCTTGAGTAATGGGCGAGCTCCACCAATGTTTCGATCTTTGCAGTGCGTTCCAAGTTGCCATATCTTATTGATTATCAGGAAAGGAAGGTAGGACACCCCATGAGGAGGGACGGCACGTGCTGCCTTAATCCTCTCTGATTCCCTCCACCGGAGTCTTAACCCATACTGCACAGCAGTTCCTAGGGAACCGCCGGCGATGGGACCGGCTGCATCTATGCTTCATGGCCGTCAGCCATCTGTCGATCATAGATATGCACTATTCACCACACAGGTGGAGCTAGAAAGTGGCAGGACATTTTTTGCATCAGATGAGAAAGGGAAGGTGTTAAGTCTGCTGCTGAGGGATAGACGCATCTGTGCAATGTGAAGCTTATAAAGGAGTCCTGCATAGCGGATAATCACGCCCGCACGACACACCGCCCACCCCCCCTGGCCAGAATCACACCACGGACCACCAGCTGTCTCCCCGCCAAACAATATCCCGCAGTAGGCTGGGCAACGCACCACGTCACTGCCGCTGAATGGCAGGGTGTCGCCCTCTGGTCTCCACTGTCAAAGATAGCCCCAAAACATGGCAAAGCGCGCCGCATCTGCTCCCATCTTGAGAGGGGAGGCGGCAAAAGGCGGCAGACTGCTTCAGCAGGCAAATGAGGGCCAAGATGACTTTGCACCTGGTGTGGATCCCATATTAGTAAATGACTAGATCAGCATCCAGACAGGCAGTGTATAGGAAGGGGGGTGTCTGGCCCCTTTAAGGATGGGGGAGGCCCCTGGGCCACCAGGAGCCCCCCGGGCACGACCGATGTGTGGTGACGGCGTATTATCGCTCTGTACTCGATACTCTTACGTCATATGATCTTAACAAATTGAAAAATGCCTCTTGCGATGCGTTCGTATCCCTACTGGCCAAGACGGGGTCTCCCGAAGGGGCGAAAATGGCCCCCGCCGGACGGGGGCCTCTCGGATCCCCATCTGACAATTTTTCGCATTTGCATATCTGACTGAAACATGGTGTTTGGCTTGAGTGGCATCTGACTGGGAGATTAGTATTGTCCCGGGTTGGCCGATCTGGGACTCCTAGAGCGCAACTCCCCCATAGCAGCAGCAATGTTCGCGTGCGCTTGTCTCCCAACGCACATAAATACATGAGCGGTTGATCATTTCGACAATGCGAAGTCGGTTTGCGGGATGTTGCTGACATGTAAAATTCTTGGGAGAGGCATCCCATTCACGGTATGCCCCAGCAGTGTAAGGAGGGGCCGACCTGCCAGACCTCCACGGAAGGATTTGTGTGCGAGTGCTTCCCGGCCCCAGACTGCCGCAGAGCATGGTGGTAAGTGGCATGCATTGCATCCTGCGACGCCATTCTAAAGTAAACCGAAAACAATACGAGTGTCTCCACCCTGCTCAGGGGGGACCAAGACCTTGCACGACAGCATCGCTGTTGTCGAGACTGTGATGGCCGCTGTGACGAGAGACCTCTTCCTGGATGCATCCACCAGCTATGTAATGGGTGAGCTGATTGTGGGTTCATGAAGGGATGGCTTGGGAGCGCAGTGCACTCGAGGCTCGAAACTGGTCTTGCCTTGGAGGAATCCATCTGTAGGTTCACTGGCACGACCACGCAGGGGAGGAGAGCCAGAATCAGGCTGCTGAGCAGGTGATGCAAGAGCATCTGGGCCGTCATGTCAACTACCTGGACGAGAACTTCCTGGAAGTACTGCAGCAGTACATTGCCAGCAGCAAGGATGAGCGCATCACCGGTGAGGCCCAGCACGAGATTCCCCAGGAGCGTGGTGCTGTGACGCGGGGGCTCTGCGCCTGAAATTACCCCTTCAAGATTCGGGGTTCAAGCATTGTCTCCTGCGGCATGGCTTTGCTGCCGGGTCTCTTGTATCCAGCCATGCTGCACTCTTGGAGTGCCATCCCTTCCCCGGCATTCATGCCGTGCACCCACCTTGCAGACCTGCTCAAGCTCATGCGGCAACAGGTTTTGCAGCAGCTCTCGCGGCACCTTCAGTCCGAGCTACAAGTGCTGACGGCTCTCAGCGACTGCAACACCAGGCGCGACCCCGCCCTGAGTTTGCAGGGTTGGACCTGAGGCTACCCTGTCACTGAGAGGAGCCTACTTGCAAGCGCCTGACCTCGCTGATTCGCCCGTCCCTTGCAGGGAGGCCCGGCAAGCAATCATCGAGCAGTACCTGTGGGCAGCTGGCACGGCCCTGCCGTCGCAGCCTGCATCAGCGGGGTCAGGCGACGATGTGCCAGACGAAGTCCAGTCCCCCACCCAGCGCATCAGGGCGCTGGCCAACGCAGCTTCCCAGGTCGTCGCGCACATGGAAGCTGCAGACAAGGTGATGATTTGGGTATCCTGGGGTCAAGGCATGGGCCTGCTGCTGTGTCCGGGCTGCCATCCACACCCTGGTGCTTGACCTGCCGGCATTGCCCTTCTGTTGGGTCAGAGCCTCACCCCTTCCCAGTCAGGGCATTTCACCCAGCTCCCGTCTCCTCTCATCATACAGGTCCTGGATCGCCGGCTGCTGGCCCGCCTCTGCCTCGTCCTGCTCGACCTGGAGGAGGAAACGGCGTCCCCCGGGCGTGACGGGCACGGCGCGGTGACTGCGGTACCCAATGCCATGCCCAGCCCCTTCTTCTTTGACGCCGACTCGCTGTATGTGCGGCTGGAGGTCGTGCCACCCCACATCATGGCCTTTGTCAAGGAGCTACTGGCCGTGCCAGGGCCGGACGAGAGGTGGGGTCGCGTTTGGGAGGGAAGGGGAAGGTGGCTGCATAGCTCAACAATCAAAGGGCCCCCCTGATGCTCTTCCTTTGACCAGGACTGTGCCCAATTAACCCCCAGTGGCCCTCTGAGCTGTTCATGTATGTGCGTGGCAGGGCAACTGATGAAGTCCAGATTGAATGGGGCCTTGGCGGTACAGAGTACCAAACCTCTGAGCATCCATCCACACACAGGATCGGGGCATTAACGAGGGCGTTTGCGACGGGGTGGAGCGGCCGCCCGGGCGCTGCATCCTCCAAGGACGACATCCGGCCTGGGAAGTTCCTGTATGTCCTCGGCGCCATCAGGGCGCTGCTGCCCGCTGGTGCCAACCAGCGGGGCCCCGCCCTGGGTCTTGCGGCCTCGCCCCTCGTCCTGGAACGCCTCGCCGCCATCCAGCGAGACGCACGGGCCGCCCTGATCCGGGCAGGCGGGCTGGCGGACTGAAGAGGCAACGGGTGACCTTTGTGCTGCCGGGGTTGGATGCTGGGAGGTGGACGGCGGTGACTGGTTTCGTTTCTAAATCGTCGGACACTTGGCATCCACGCAGTTGTTTGCGGCCTAGGATTTTTGCCGTGTGGCCAAGGCTGCATGGCAGACTCACACCCAGTGCACTCTGTGCATGTCGTAACATCAAATTCTTGGTGAGAATATTCCACATCACATCCCCTGCTCCCCTGCTGGGAGGTCACCCACCCCGTTGCCGGTGTTACAATGGAAAGAATGGGTACCCCAACCTCTCGACTCCGTTACCATAGGATCACCCAATGTGATCACAGCAACTCTCAGTCGCGCAGCAGGTCGTACCAAACACGGGGCCTGGGCACCACCCCCCCACCCAGCGCCGCCTCCAGCACGGCGCCGGCATGCAGCAGGCCGGCCTCGTGCCAGGGCGGGGCCATCAGCTGCAGGCCCAGCGGCAGCCCCGCCGCATCGACGCCCACGGGCAGCGTGAGCGCGGGGAAGCCCAGGAAGTTGGCGGGGGTGATGAAGCGCATGAGGCCCAGCGTGGTGGCCAGGTCGGTCTCGCCCGCGGCCAGCGCGCCGGGCTTGCAGCGCGGCGCGGCGGCGGGCGTGGTGGGAGTGAGGACTAGGTCGCAGGCGGCAAAGGCGCGGCGGAAGTGGGCCTCGCCGCGTGTGCGCACGCGCTGCGCGTTCACGTAAAAGGCCCCGGTGAAGCCCACCGCGTTGGTCAGCGAGGCCCTGGTCTCCCCGTCCAGCTGGCAGCGCACCGCCGGCACGCTGAGCGGGCCTGTGGAGGAATGGGGTGAGAGGGGAGTCGGGGGGTTCATTGCTCTGGACACTGGCCGGGCAGGACCATCGCCGCAGGCCGGCCTGTGCAGGGATGTCGATGTACGACTGGGGAAGCTGCGGTTCGACGATCGATGAGAGGTGTGGGCCAGCCCTGTCACCGTCGACCATGCGGTCCCTCGACCCCCTGCCCTCACCTCCGGGCAGACCTACCCACCCGACATGGCGGAGCGCATCTCGCTGCAAATGGTGACGCTGTGTGCGAGGCGCTGGTGACGGAGCTCCGGGATGACGATGTCGACCACCTCCAGCCCTGCACCGCGCAGCTTCTCGACAGCCGCCCTGCAGGCAGCCAGGACCTCGGGCGAGGCGTCCTCAAACCACTGCAGTATTGGTTGTTGTGAAGGTTTCTGGGGTACTGGTGGGCTGGAGGGGGACTTTTGGTGTGGTGCAGGGCAGGATGCACATCAGACCGTCGGCGTCGCACGGGTGGCTGTGTGCCAGGGTGATCATCGGGGACGAGAGACACACACCAAGATGTACCACCCCTTCTCCACCCCCGCAGGCTCGCCTTCCAGTAGATGCCGGCCTGCTTCCCCGCCAGGGCCCCTGAGAGGTCCTGCCCGGCCCGCGGCAGCCCCGCCGACAAGCGGACCGGGGGGTGTGTGGGCCCGGGGTCAAAGCCATGTGGCCCCGCACACGATCCCGGCCCCCTGGCCCCGGCCATCACCGCGTACGCCAGCTGGCAGTCCGCCACGCTGGCGGCCAGCGGGCCCAGCACAGCCACGGTGCAGTCCACCTCCGGCCCCTGGCTGTGGTCCAGGCGGTCGTGCGTGGGCTTGAGGCCCACGCAGCCGCAGAGCGCGGCGGGGATGCGGACGCTGCCGCCGCCGTCGGAGCCGAGCGCCAGCGGGCACAGCCCGGCGGCCACCGCCGCCGCCGGGCCGCTGCTGCTGCCGCCCGTGTGGCGCCCGGGGTCGTGGGGATTGCGCGGCGTGCCCAGCACCGTGTTGAGCCCGGTGGTGCCCAGCCCTATCTCGTGCGTGGCCAGCTTGCCCAGCAGCAGCGCCCCGGCCGACAGCAGAGCCGCCACGGCGGGGATGGTGGCCTCGACCCGGCGCCTGCAAAGTGGTGGGCAGGGGTCTCATCGGGTGGTCAGGGAGGCAGGAGGGAATGTATGATGAGCCGCGCCGCACGGTGGGTGTTCATGCTCCGATACCATCCCTGGTCACCCCCACGCACTTTCCCCCTGCTCAAGCCAACACCCACCCACCAGTCTGCCATCCAGGAGGTGCCGGCGGTGGTCTTGTAGCCCAGCACGTCCACCAGGTCCTTCACGCCAAAGGGCACGCCGTCCAGCGGGCTGAGGGGGCTGCCATTCCGCCAGCGCTCGGTCGAGGCGGCGGCCGCGGCACGCACCTTGTCCGGATCGAACTCGGTGAAGAGGCACATGGCAGGGTCCTGAGTACATGGGTCCCGGGAAAGTGGTGACGGCATCAACTGTCCATTGCCTCTACCTCCAAGCCGGCCCTTGTCACAAGATGTGTCCGTCCGTGGGGGCAAGGCACGCTCCCTCACCCTACACATATTAGCAGCCTCCCACCTCCTCACCTGCTCCTCGCTGGCCGCGACTGCAGTGATGACGCGCTCCGCCACCTGGCTGGGTGTGCTCTGCCCGCTAGCGTATGCCCTGCGGTAGTCTGCGCAGGTGTGCTGGCGCCAGGGGCCCTGGTCGGTTGCTGGATCCTCGCCGAAAGTCAGCTTGAACGCCGCGCCAGCTCGCTCCACATCTGACAGCTCTGGTTCCAGCTCCACCATGGGCCCCTGCTCCGGCCGCCAGGCCCTCGTGTTGGGAAGGAAGGTCGGCATCTCGGGGATGAAGGTCTCGCCAAACAGCTGCAAGGGCAGGGAGTGGGCGCGGGCCAGAGGTCGAGTTTGCTGCCAAGTCATCGGAACCGAAGGTAAGATTGATGTATTGAAGTACTGATGATCACCAGCCAGTCCCTGGCGCTTCAACTGCTCCAAGGCAGGGAGCCCCTCACCCCAGCACCTGTGTGAATCCATTATCACGCAAGAGCTTCCCGCGGACGATGCCAAAGAGGGAACTCTCCATGAACCTCACAAACAACTTGAATGGTTTGCCTGGAGCGAGGGGGGGTAGAGGGCCATCATTAGATGTTGAGCTGGTGAGGTCCAAGCCCAGGTGATGTGCGATAGAACAATAGTAATGCACCGCCCTGCCGTCCAGAGCAAGTCAAGCACGCTCACCAGGGATCTCACCTGAGATCGCAGGAGCATCAAACACCTCTGGCACATAGTCATCATCATGCAGCTCTGCAGCTGGAGGAAGAACCTTAATGTTGGATGCCATGCTGCATGTGCCGATCCCCAGGACTGATGAGCTATGCGTCGCGAAGAGAGGTGATCGGGATGCCGTGCTAATTTTCTTGACTCATGCTGTCCATCCCTGCCAGTGGGTCGTATCTGGCCTCTAAGGAATCCCAGGTGTGCCTGTGCTTCCGACCAGGTGGCGCAAGGCCGAGGAGATCATGCAGCAAGCAGTCGGATTCGTGGGCCCGAAAAGCAACAACCCCCCAATTAACATTTCTTTACACATTAGTCAATGCTGCCGCCGACCTGCATTCGGTAAGCGGGAAGGTGCGGCAGTGAGTGAGGACGAGGTCGAACTAAATGCTGTGGACAATACAAAGGGCCCTGCTCATGTGTGCATGAACGCCAGGGCGCTCAAGGCTCACGGACGTATAGCAGTGCCATCTATTGGACTCTTTCCCCATATCGGTCGAAGGATGTTTTACGTGACTTCAGGTCGAAGATCCCGTAACCTTCGACTCCCGAAAGCAGCGCGCCACGTTTGCCAGGCACGGATTCTGTCATATTAAGACGCTTCTCAAGTAATCAACCAACTACTTAACACCGGCATCAACATTCTGCAGCATATTGAGTTGAAGATCACATATCCCTCCGCCCTTCGCGCTCGGTTCATTGAGCTACCATGTCGCTGGCGATGACGTCCCCCGTCACCATGAAATTGAACGCGCAGAGCGCCCCCTTTGCCCAGAGGAGACAGATGAGTGCTTCCGTGTCTCGGTCGCGCACGGTGACCATGGCAGCTGCCTCAACCTTTCAGAGCACCAAGGTGCGAGTCAGGGTTTGGGAGCAGCTGGACCTCCTCCGGAGCTACTCGCGGACTTCAGGGCGGAATGCTACTGACGGAACCGTGACTAATATCTCGTAGGAGTGTTTGAAATTGTGCAACAATCACCAAACAACGCCCTTGCCGTCCCGTGCAGGCCCCGGCCACGCTGAAGGCCGCCAACCAGCTCGAGGCCCTGAAGCAGATGAGCAAGGTGGTGGCCGACACCGGCGAGGTGGATGCCATCCGCCGGTACAAGCCCTTCGACTGCACCACCAACCCCAGCCTGGTGTACAAGGCCATGCAGCTGCCAGAGTACGAGCCGTACCTGCGCGACGCCATCGCCGCCGAGAAGGAGTCGCACAAGGGTGCCCGCCCCTACGCCTACATCGCCGACCGCCTGGCGGTCAACATTGGCGCCGAGCTGTCCAAGCTGGTGCCAGGGCGGGTGGGTGGAGGCGGTGTGTGTGTGCAGGGGGGATTGGTGCCAGGGAGTTGGGGATCAGGCGTCTCCATGGCAGGTGTATTGGCCCCAGTGGCCGCCTGCCTTCAATGATTGCAGATGAGAGTCGTCCCCTCAGTGGCAGACTCAGGGGCCCCAACAATCCCAACAATCCATTCCTTCACGCCCCACACCCTGCCCTGCACCCAGGTCTCCACCGAGGTGGATGCGCACCTGAGCTTCGACACCCAGGCCACGGTGGACAAGGCTCTGCGCCTGATCGACCTCTACGCCGCCAAGGGCGTGGACCCCTCCAAGATTTACATCAAGGTGGCCTCCACCTGGGAGGGCATTCGCGCCTGTGAGGTGCTGCAAAAGCAGGGCATCAGCACCAACATGACCCTCATCTTCTCCTTCGCGCAAGTGAGTGGCTTGGAAAGTGGAAGGGGGGGGGAAGGACCTCCGAGTTTTCGATCGTGGCTGTGCCAAGCTTCCTGCTGGGTGGTGAACCAGACACGGAATGCACTCTGTTCTTTGCCATTGCCCCTCATAATTGCCCCAAACTCCACAACTCTCTCTCATACCCCTCCCCCCCACCACACAAAAATCACCCAGGCCGGGGCATGCGCCGACGCGGGCGCTTCCCTGATCTCCCCCTTCGTGGGTCGCATCCTGGACTGGTACAAGAAGGCAAATGGGCACGACTATGCGCCTCACGAGGACCCGGGTGTGGAAAGCGTGAAGCGCATCTACTCCTACTACAAGCAGTACGGGTACGACACCATCGTCATGGCCGCCTCCTTCCGCAACATCGGCGAGATCCGGGAGCTGGCAGGGTGCGACAACATCACCATCTCCCCCGCCCTGCTCGCCGAGCTGGAGGCCTCCACCGACCCCCTGCCCTACGCGCTGTGGCCCACCCAGGGCGGCTCCACCGACCCCCACTACGACCTGTCGGGCAAGGCGGAGGGCACCTTCCTGCAGATGCATGGCGAGGACCAGTGAGTTTGACGAGGGATGAGGGGGGGGTATGGCTGGATGTCTGGAGGGCGAGGCCTGAAGAGGGAGTCTTGTGTTGAGAACAGGGGCCTCTGAATTTGGAGGGGGGCACTCGAGATCTCCACTCCATGGCCTGCGTCAAGTGATTCGCATCCAATCTCCGCCCTTGTGTCCGCCCAGGATGGCGCTCGACAAGCTGGCAGAGGGCATCAAGGGTTTTGCCGCCGACCAGGACAAGCTGGAGGTGCAGATTGCCAAGGCCATGGGCGCCTGAGCGAGCGACCAGCCGAGCGACGCCGAGAGGCCGGCCGCCGATGCGCTGGGGGCTGGGGCGCCGTCGGCACTCAGACCGTGGCCACCCGAGTTGTGTTCCCGCCCCCGAGACAAGACAGGAAACGAATCAGCACCAGCGGCTTGGAAGTCATGTATCCCGCCCATGAACACCGCGCTTCCCCACTGCATGCCCTGTGTAGGATGATCATGCGAGAGTCACGACAGCGTTCAAAGTGGTGGGCAGTTGTTCAGGTGGCAGCGATGGACACAAGTTGGGGGAGAGGTGTCTCCTGCAGCATTGGGTCCATGAAATGTGCAAGCAAAGAGCATGGGGAACAGCATGAAAACCAAAACTAAGCTGCCGCATGCGACCGGCAGCAGGGGTTCCCTCGCCCCTTCCAGGGGCGCACCTCGCTGGCTCGGGATGTATCGCCCCACACCTCACCTCCCACAAGCGATCCTGTCATTGTACCACGCGATGGCGTCATCGCAGCGGGCACTGGGCGGCGCACCCCTCCCGCGACTGGGCGAGGCTGTGCAGTATCAGGCCGGCAGCTTGCTCCCCCGAGGCCCAGGCGCCGTGCGCCGTGGAGGGGTGCTCCAGGGATGCCGCCTCCCCTGCAAACACCAGGCTGCCGCTCACCGGCTCCCCCAGCGTCGCCCGATCTGACGGCGAGCTCCCCACTTGCAGGAGGGGGCGGGAGAGGGTTTGCGTCTTGGCACGGGGTTGAAGGAGGAGCACTTACAGCAGGGCATGTGAGGGACCCTTCCCGTTGCCCAGAGCAACATACACTCCCCAGCCTACTCTGGAATACCTGGGTAGTAGGTGTACCCCCCCAGGGTCAATGGGTCCCGGTCCCAGCGCGCCAGTTCCCAGTGCAGCGGCGTTGGTGGAGTCCCGCCGCCCAGCATGCTGCCCAGCGTGGCCAGCACGGCGGCCGCCACCTCGTCGTCTGTCTTTCCAGCCAGACTGTCCAGGGCAGGCCCCGTCAGCGTGGCCACCAGGGCGGGGGACCAGGTGAGGGAGTAGAGGGGCGTGAAGCGGACCCAGCCCTGCGCCTGGCTGGCGGTCCCGGGCTCCTGCGCGAAGCTTTGCCAGGACAGGTCCCAGAAAGGCTGGGCAGGTGTTTATGGGGGAAGGGGGGAGGATGTAGGGGGTCGGGTCTGAGTGTATGAGTGTGTCTGACTGATCTGACAGATCAGGCGGGGCGTCATGGCCAGGGGATGCCCCCCGGCCCCCTGGGCAAGTGAACAACCCAGAGAGCCAGCTTCCCTCATCGCATCCCTCCTATCCACCCAGTAAGCCACCGGACCTGGTCAAACCAGAGGGCCAACGCCGCCGCGCCGCCCACGCCCAGCCGCCACATGGCTCGCGTCAGCTGGTCGGGCAGCGGCGGCTGGATGTCCACAGCGCCGGTACGCAGCAGCCCCAGCGGCAGCGTGCACAGCACGAACTGCGCACTGAGCGCCGCGCCAGACGCGTCTGTGACGCCGGCAGCCAGGTCGCCGTGGCTGATCGATCTCACGGTCGTGCCCAGGCGGACGTCCAGGTCGGCAGCCAGTCTGTCGACCACTGCCCCCAGCCCGGACACCACCAGGTCGTCCACGCCGGAGGTTGGCCCCACGGCAAAAGCGTAGGCCAGGGAGAGGCTGGAGGCGTGGGCACCGGCCTGACCCTCGACGAGCCGGATGCGGGCCAGGAGGGCCCTCCTCGCGGCGGCCGTGAGCGGCGCAGAGGCCAGGTAGGCATCCACTGCGTCTTGGAGGGATGGGGCCAGAACGGGGCTGGGCGAGGGGGGTGGCGGGGGGGGGGGCTGGCAGGATGGGAGCTTGTCCTCACTGCAGGGCGCCAGGCTGGGGGGCGAGGCTGTCGGTACCCCAGGGGACTGAACTGTTGAGCTGTCAGCAGGGGTCGAGGGACCCAGAGGTGGAGAGCCCTCTGCAACTTCGTCCCCCTCGTCCGACCCGGGTGCGCTGTCAGGCGACAGCCCCTCCACGATGTCTGCGAGGGTGGCGGTGCACAGGGCCTCAGCAGCCGCCAGGAAGCCAAGCCAGGTGGAGCTGCTGGCGAGCGAGGGGTCTATGTCTGCGTTGCCGCTGCCAGGCAGGGCCAAGACGGTCTGGGAGTCCCAGCCGGGGTCGAAGATGGCGCGCCTGACTCCGAGCCCAGTGAGGGGCTGGGCCAATGGGTTGCTGATGTCGCCATGGAGGACAGAGGCCCCAAGCTCGGCAGTTGAGTCATCGTAGGTGGCTGTCTGTACCCTGCCACCCACCCGATCCTGTACGTGGGGCCGGGTGCTCAGGATGAAGGATGGTGGGAGGGAAGATGAAGCAGAGGATGGGGGTACCAATCAAGCCTAGAGCACACATCTGGACAGCATCGTTACTTCTGCAGGCCCATGTGACATGGTACTGGATGATGTCCTACTCCCAGCCCTTTAAATTCAATCATTATGGAGTTCTAAATCCGATATCTCACCCTGGCCTCCAGGACGACGACAGACAGGCCCGCCGCCTGAAGCTTCGTAGCCGCCGCGATGCCTGCCAATCCCGCCCCGATGACTATGACGTCGTGATCGACGCTCATTCCTTGGCTGTTAAGCTGCGCACTATTCAGGTAGGTATGCAGGGATCCATAGTAGGCGGGCGGGTAAGAGGAGCTGTTTACGGAGTCCAGTGTCCCTGAGTAGAGGTCTTGCGGCCCCGAGTCCGCGGCCCGGCCCAACAAGCCCAGACTCGCTAGGACTGCCAGGGCCGCTGCAGCAGCCACGAATATGCTCATAATGGTAATGGCACCAATTATTTGCACCCATGGAGCCGGCCGGGGAGGAGCGCTCGCCAGCGGAAACCTGGGCCCGGTCTCCGTCGACGAGGTCCCGACCTGCACATGCACCGTGGCCGAGCGCTCTTTGGGCCATGCTTCCATACGAGCATGTAGGCGTTTGGACAAGTGTTTGAGATTCGAATCTTGGTCTCGCACAGGGCGCTAGGAAGTGCAAGAACCCCACATGACCTCGACAGTCTCGGTGGTCAAAGAGAGGGCGTCACATTGCCATGCAGCTGCAGTCTAACCTTACCCCAGCACAGGAGCCTCCTGTCAGGCGGCGGTGCCCGGACTCAGCTCGTTTATGAGCTCTCCTGGCACTCACCAGTTTGTTTGCATCATTTTGCAACACAGCCTCGTCAATCAAATCGGATGTGCCTGCTGCCACTAGCGTTTGACGACCCTGAGTGCCCTGCAATGCCATCCGCAGCTTCGAGTCCTTGGGCTTCCCTTCTTCGCGATCTCCTATGGCCGTCTTGTCCCGATCCGGCGATTGGGGCAGGAGACAGAGGATGGGAAGGGTTGCGTGTGTCTTCTCTTGCGGCAGGCGCAGCCCCCTCCTCCTCCAGGCTGAGACTGCGTTCCCTGTGCTTCCTCTTCTTCTTATTCTGCTTCTCGGCGGCCTCCTGCGCAGCATGCACGGGGGCGGGAGGTGTGTCAGTGGGCGACTCGCATCACTTTCAAGCAGTGGCTGAGATCGCTGCCGATCCTTCTCCCATCACCATACTCCGCGTGCACCATCACAAAGTGAGCGGCAACCTTCCGCCCTACCTGTGCTGCGGGGGATTCACTTTTTCGCTTCTTCCTGGACTTCTTGTGAGGGCGCTGTGGTGACTCCGGGTGTGCAACCGGCGTCCGCATGAAGAGCACAGGGTCCAATCGCAGCACGCGGGCGAGGATGGACTCCTTTGGGCTAGAAGGTGCTACCATCCGCAGATATGCATACTCAAACGCGGCGCGCACCTAGTCGGTGTGGGGTTGAGGGTGCAAGGTTGAACATGTATGAGTGTAATACTGTGCCCTTGAGGAAATACTAGTGGCTGCTAGGACCTTCTAAGGGGCGGTGAGCACAAGCAGCCCTCCAATCCCCTCCAGTCTCACCCTGCTAATGTTGTAAGAGTTTCGGGCAAGGTCATTGGTCGGGTCGCAGGGGTCCTCTACCGCGAGCAGGTAGGGACGTTCACTCTGAAAGGGTTGAGGTGATTGGGCAGCTTGGCGACCGAGTAGTCTCAAGAATCTGAGCTTTGCCTGGACCACACACGTGTAGCAGACAGGTCTGGAGTCCACATGTCAACTGGTGATGCCTCCGTCCGGGGCGCACTCACCGAGTAGAAACCGGAGGCCGACTTCTTGATATAGGCTCCCCCGTTGCGGCAGCTCACCCCCACCTGCGGAAGGTTGGTGCGTCGGCGATGCTGCAGATTGGAGTAGCTCATCCCTTGGCGTGCCCTGCCTCTCTCGGCCTCCCAGGATGATGCACAGCCTGCGCCCGTGCCTGTCCCCTTCCCTCACATCGTAAGTGTTGAGTGTCCGGCCGTAGAGCCTGAAGAAGTCGATGAGCAGGATGCCCAGGTTCTGCTCCAGGTCCTCAGGCTTGCTGGGCCCCTTGCCAAAGCGTCGGGAGGGCTGACGGGAGGGGTGCAGCTGCAGGAAGGCGGCCACCAGCACCAGCAGGGCGTAGGAGCCCAGGCCGCCTGCGTAGACCTCATTCAGGTCGCGCTGGTGCAGGAAGACCTTCAGGACCATGACCAGGTGCCGCATGGGCGGCAGGACGTCCATCAGCGCCCTCACCGACTCGGCCGCCTGTGGGTGTGGGGGACGGGAAAGTTGGGGGGTGCACTTGCGCAGCAGGCGGGGGTTGCAGGCACAGGGATGGCAGTGCAGCGGCGTGTGCCGGCTTTCGTGGACCACCAGTGCCCTTCAGCCCCTGCTTGGCCCTGCAGCGGCTGAGCTGCACCAGAGGCAGTTGCAGGAAGGGGTGCCTCTCCCCACCAAGCAATCATAGCAGCCACCCCTTCTGCTGACATACCTCTGGCCCATTGGCCACATCAAAGGAGATGTCGAATTTGTAACACGACTCTGCCTCCTCAAACTTGATGATGGGGACCTTGGCCTTGGTGATCACCTGGTACGGCGAGGGAAAGGGTGCACCAGGTGTGTGAACTGTTTGCTGTGAACAGCCTGCGCCGCGTGTGTTCCGGTCCACAAGGTCGTGCTGGTGGTATGCGCGCCGCCCTCCTTGCTCTGAGGTCCACCCCACTCAAAACCCCCATGCCCAGCCCTGTCCATTCCCCTCCCCCCCGGCATCAGCCTTCCAAACCCAAGACACCACGCCCTTCCAGCGCGCCTAACCCCGCGCCAGCCACCCAAGGCCCCCCCCCCCGCCTGCATACCCACCTGTATGTCCTTGGCCAGGTGCTTCCGGTGCAGCGCCGAGGCCAACGCCTTTAGACCCTGGGGCACATCCTCGCACCCCGACCCCAGCACCACCGCATCGATGTCCGACGTGGGCAGGTACAGGCCGGTGGCAAAGGAGCCAAAAACCTTGACCTGCGCCTCGGGCCAGATGCACGCCACCACATCTCGCACGCGCTGGATCGCAGCGTTCCGCTGCATCGCCTCCTCCGGCAGAGGCGTCAGGTACCGCGCCAGCTCGACGATCTCTGGAGGGGGAGTGAGGAAAAAGGCAGGTGCGGGCGGGGGCTCGATCTGCACCCGGAAGAGCCTGCCCCCAGCCTGTCTCCAGACGCACCCATGCTGCGCGGGGTCGGCAGAGCATGGCTGGCAGCACGCCTCAGTCGTAGCTCTGCACTCCGCAACCCCAGGTGTGGCTGGCCAGACGCCACACAAGCGCATGCTGGGACGCGATGAGGAGCCCTCCAGCTCAACACGCACCGTGATGGAGCCGTAGTGAAGCCGACTCGATGCCCCAGATGGACTTGTGCCACGGCACTTTGTCCAGTAAGGCCGGCTCGCTGGGCTCGGGCTTGGCCGGTGCGGCTGGTGTCCGAGCCGAGCCGCCAAAGGAAATGAAGTCGTCGAAGAGGTCCTGGATCACGGACTGGACCGCAGCCTCCTCGGGTTCCCGGTCCTGGAGCACCGGCCAGGGAGGGAGGGAGAGATGGGGATCCAGGGGTTCCCCGCGAGACACTCACTCCTGGTGCCAAGCACACAGGCTGTACTCTGAGGCGCCACCCACCCACCCAACCCACCCACCCAACCCACCATCCCAACCCACCTGTGCACCATTGGGAGACGACTCCGGGAGCTCCCCGCTCTCCACCCCAGACTCAGGACTGCGTTCCTTTGCACCCTCCGGCCTCCCCGCGGTGGCTGGCCGATTTCGGACGATGCTTGTCTGCGCAGTGCTGGTGTCAGCCGGGTGGACCACCTCGACGCTGGCGCTCACTGCCTCCACGACAAGGCTTTCTTTGCTGCGAGGGGTGAGGGCAGAACCCAGGACAGCGAACTTGGTATACCGATAGGCACTGGATCCTTCGTGCACTGGCGTCAGGGTGGTCTCCGACTTGCGTCGCTGAGCCATTAGCCGCACGAAGGTAGGCTTCGTGGCCGGGTCTCGGCGATGCAACCATGCGCGATTTACGCTTCCTATGGTCGAGTTTCGTCGTAATGTAACCAAGCTGAACTTCAGGTATAAGCGGGGTCCACATGCTGGACGTCGAAATCATAAGGGCGCGCCAGCGCGCTTTGTGTCTCGGCGATGCAACAGTTTTTATCTGGCATCACACTTCCTCCAGGTTCGGACCGATAACATCGCCTTACCATTACGTCTCCAGATGCTGGACGATGGAATAGCCAGCGATACCTCCAGGGAGCAGTGGGCCCTGGAGGTGCGGGTGCTGGAGTTGTACCGACACCTGGATGCCAGACTCTTGGACGGGGACGACGGAGCCCTAGAATTGTATCGTGACAAGCATGCAAAGTTCTTGAGGAAGGGACTTGGGTGCCTGAATGCTGGTGAGGTGCCGGGTCAGGGGGCAGTTTGAGTGGGGGTGGGCTGGTGGTGGGTCTCAACCACAATGCAGTGCCACAAGCAATGCAAGAGACCCGGCCCCATACACTCCGTACCTGTCAGGATTTCTGGGCTTGGATGCAAGTCGTACATGGCTGTGCTACTGGATCCTGCATGGCCTGGTGCTGCTGGAGCGGCCCTTCCCCGCCCAGCCGGACCGAGACTCCATCATCACCTTCCTGGCTTCCTGCCAAGATCCAGAGGGAGGCTTTGGGGGAGGCCCCTACCAGCTACCCCACCTGGCTCCCACATACGCAGGTGGGTAGGAAGATGCTGGGGTGACAGCATGTGCATGCTATGTGTTAGATGAGATCAGGCATAGTGGCGGAGGGTATGTGCTGCCAGTATCATCTTTGAAAGCCAGGGATAGCAGCAGCCCACTTCTCAGCCCTAGACTTGCATCATGTGCAGCTGTGGCGGCGCTGGTGACGCTAGGGGGCCCGCAGGCTCTGAGTGTTATTGACCGTCCCGCACTGATGCGATTCCTCCTTCGCATGTGCATCCCTCCCGAGCAAGGCGGCGGCATGGTCATGCACGATGGTGAGCTTGCTCTGTCCTCAGAAGGTTCTGTACATGCAGGAGAGGCGTTGAAACCGCGGTCTGCTTGCAGAACAGTCTCTACAGGACAGGAGGACCACATGGGGCATGGTCTCAGCCTGTTGTTGTTGCATCGGAATCCCTGAGTGCATGGCCAGGAGAAACCCAGCACAAACCCACTTCCTCCATTCCTCCCCCAGGGGGCGAGGTTGATGTGCGGGGCTGCTACTGCGCCCTGGCGGCCTGTCACATGCTGAACCTTGATGTGCAGACCCTGGCGGATTGCTGCGGCATGGTCGACTTCATCCGCCGCTGCCAGGCGTGTCAGGGGAAGGTGCTCAATATCTTACGAGGCACTGCTCGCGTCTGAGGACCCATCAATTACCGCTTCCGCCCCTTTGAATGATCCCTCCTCCACCTCCTCCCCCGCAGAGCTACGAGGGAGGGATCGGGGGGGAGCCCGGCAACGAAGCCCACGGGGGATACACCTACTGCGGCCTGGCCGCGCTCTGTCTCCTGGACAGGTGCCAGGCGCTGGATATCCCCAGCCTCGAGTCCTGGGTCGCGGCGCTTCAGGCTCCCTTTGAGGGGGGCTACGCGGGCCGCACCAACAAGCTGGTTGATGGCTGCTACTCCTTCTGGCAGGGGGCGGTGCTTCCACTGCTGGATCGATATGCGCCCTCCAACGCACGCGCCACTGAGACCCGTACTGAGCAAAGGCCGGACCAGGACCTGTCGCCGGAGACCCTGGCGGCCCGGGCGCTGGTGCACTCGCTGGCCGTGCGCTTGGAAGCCGCCGAGAAGCTGGAGGCCGAGGTAGGTGGCACAGGGCTTTGGAGGCGCATTGCCATGATGCCTGTTTCAGACCAGGGACGGGTTTCGAAGGAAATGTCTAAAGTCTTGCTAGACTGCCCGTCATCAGTTGATGGGATGGGACTGGTCGGTCTACCATTCATTGCAGGACCGATCCTCGTCTCATTCCGCTCTTTGTGCGTCACCTTCCGATCCCCTGCTTCCCCTTAGGCTGAGGCGGCCTACTCCTCTGCCGTGCATGCGCAGAACGATGCCGCCGTCTCCAACCTCCAGCATGCCGCCCGGACGGCACAACACGCGTCCCAGAGGCTCCGAGAGGTGAGTGGCCTGCCTGAAAGAGGCGTTCAATGCTGAGGACTACAGATTCCACAATCACCCCTGCCCTCCTCGTGGCAACACACACGCCAGGGACTGGATCGGGCCCGGAGCCAGGTGGCGGCCGTGGCGCATGGCGCTGCCGCGCTGGTGGCGACCGGCCTGCCCGGCGCCCCGGCGGCGGGGCGAGACGTAGCGCAGAGCTCCGTTGGCGCCCAGTCCCTCCAGGTGTGGCTCCTCGCGGCGTGCCAGGAGCTGCGCGGCGGCATGCGCGACAAGCCGGGCAAGGCGCCCGACTACTACCACACCTGCTACTGCCTGGCGGGGTTGGCGGTGAGCCAGGCCTGGTCGGGCGTCGTGGTGGGCGGGCCGTGCAATGCGCTGCCGACCGTCGACCTGCGCTGCAACGTGCGAGCAGACGCGCTGGCAGATGCACGGGCCTGGTTCTCGGGGCGGTAGGAACCGCCTGGTTGGGGAACATGAGCCTTCTCGGGAGGAGCCGCATGAGTGGGTCTCGCCCTCGTTGGCAATGCGATTGGCATTCGTGTGGTCACATGTAGCAATGGTCGCGGTCCGAGGGACCACACGAGGGTCAGGGGGTTCTGTACGCCGGCGGTGTGAGCGTGTGGGAACACAGGCAACGATACCTTGTGGGGAACCCAGCGCAGAAGCAAGTCAGGTCACAGTTTGGGCTCGTGGGTGTGGAACGGGTGCGTCGGCGTCGCCGCCCCGGGCTTGGGGCTGGAAAGCGCGGCCGACCCGTCGTGCCCCATCAGGCTGCCCAGCTCCGGCTTCTGGTTCTGGAGCTTGCGCAGCTCCACCTCCACCCGCACGAACATCCATTGGAAGCGTCTGAGCATGTGGCGGTGGCAGGGAGGGACTTGGGGCTCGCCGACTCGATGGTACGATCGAACATCACCCAGACATGGCTGCGAACTGTTCCAGAGCGTGGCAATGTAGCTCGGTATCCCGCGGCCCGACATCCAAACTGTGAGTGTGTCAGCCCCGCCCTTGGGCTCTCCCTCCTCCTCAAGGCAACTCAGCAACACCCACCTGAACACCTCCAGCAGGGCAAAGAAGGAGACGACCAAGGCATTTGCCCTGAGGCCATCAGACAGCTTGTAGATCCAGGTCAGCCTGAGCACCAGGTTGGAGGCCATCAAGTACCTGAACGTTGGGGACGGTGAGGGGGATTGATTGGCAAGGGGGGAATGAATCATTGACTAGCCAGGTGCACTGTAGGACAGCTGTTGCAGCCTTATGGACCCCCGTCCCCCCTTTTTTCATCGAGGAACTCACAGGTAGACGGCGCGGGGATACATGGCCGGGGAGGCCAGCACCGGTCTGGGCAGGGCTGTCTTCTGGACATCTGCGCGACAACCAGGCACTTGGTCACGATGGGTATACAGGCGCGGCTAGAGGCCTGGCCCCGAGGGGTTGTGGTGCTCCTGAGCCATGCCTCGTCATGCGACTGGCCATGGATGCCATTGACACCAAGCATTTGTGGAGCAAGAGCAGGGGCATACCGCACACAGGCTTCCTTCTAGTGCTATAAGCTGGCTCCCACGGCATACAGCTCCACACCATGGCCTTGGTTTTTCCCACCACGTAATCATCTAGGGTTGTTTCTCCTCGCCACCATTCCCTCATCCCCCCCCCCCAAAAAGGAAGAAGAACAACAAACTCCCACGCACCCATCTGGGAGAAGAAGCCAATCTCCCAATCCCTCTCCAGGTCCCAGAAGTAGGAGTAGGCGGCGTTGAGCGCAGCCGCGCCCACCCAGAGCGGGCGCAGCGTGGTGAGCCAGAGCTCGGGCCCCACGCTAGCGGCCGCCCCGGCCAGCGCGATGGCCGGAAAGGCGGTGGCGTACTTGACGGCGTTGAACGCCTGCGACCGCGCACCAGTGTCGCGGAAGACGCGCACGCACTGCACCAGGCGGACGGCGTAGGGCAGGGCCGAGCCCAGCGGCGCCAGCGCGCCGCTCTCGCCGCAGGTGCCGGAGCCGAAGGCTGCGCCAGGGCCGGCCGCCACAGCGCACAGCGCGCGCGCCCCGTCGCCGACCGACTTGGAGAGGCTGGTGGCCACATCGGCCAGGAAGAAGTCGGCCCAGGAGACGGCGTGGACGGGCAGCGCCACGCGCGTCAGCGTCCTGGCGAAGAAGCGGCGCGTGTCCTTTGCGGTGTGTAGTGGCGGCGGGGGGGGTGGGGTGGTGAGGGGGGTGGTTGAAGCAGGCGGGCAAGAGGTGGGAAGGGGCACACCGCTACAAACACACCAACCCCCATCCCTGCAGCCCTCACCCCATGAAAACCGGGCCCCGGCCAGAGGAGGGCCACGGCCAGGCTGCTATACATGAGCGGGGGCTGGAGGGCTGCCGCGCCCCGCTGCCCCTCTGCCAGCTGGTACAGGAAGACCGCGCCGGAGAGGGTGGTGACGGCGGAGAGGGCGGTGCCGGCGCGGAACAGCACGGCGCTGCCTGGCAGGTGCCGCGCGTCCTCGGGCGAGAAGCAGGCCGCGTAGCGCACGCCTCGCCGCTCCCAGTGCCACACGGCGACGGTCCAGAACCAGAGCATGGCCAGCGCGGGGATCAGGGGCTGGTAGTAGAGCAGGAACAGCGTGCGGTCCTCGCCCGGCAGCGTGCGCAGCAGGAGGGCGGTCACCAGGGTGGCCCCCAGGTTCAGGGCGGTCCAGGCCGCCCACTCCAGCCGCTGGCGGGCGGCGTGGGGGGGACCGACCCTGTGCGGGGTGCGGGTGGCTGGCGCGTGCCGCTTGGGCCTGATGTGGGGGTGGGGGGGTGGTCGGACGGAGTCAGAACAGGGGGGGGTTGGTGGGGAGGTGGTGCGAGCAGCACAGGGAGGAACCATGCCTGTCAATAGAGGTCCAGGGGCTTTGGCCCTGCACAGTGACGGCAGGTATGTATTTATGGCACACGCCGCTCGCACATGCCCTCGCACCCTTCTTCATGGTCTGAGGATGCCATGCTGGAGGAGGAGGAGGAGGGCATCCAGGTGGCAGCCGGCCGCAGCACGTCCCCGCTCTGCCTACCGGGAACCCGGCATGTGGACCTGCTGCAGGTGAGGCAGGACTCTCAAGATAAATAGGCAAGCTCTTGCAGCAACGCCGGGTAACTCGCGCTGCAAACTGGAGGCCTGGGCGTGCCCTAGGCCGTGATCGGTTCAAACTGCGTCGCAGGGTGGCTGCAGCACGTCGGCCCCCTAGCGATGAAGGCTGGGCTTATGACTATCACAGGCTTAATCAAAGCTGCATACGTTTATACAAGTAAGGAAGCTTGCAGGTGGGCAACGCGCTCAGCGCGCTGGAATCGGGCGGTGTTCATGAATGAAGCTAGCCGTGAGAGCGCGCCACATGGTGCACGCGTGCAGAGCGACCAGGTCCCACAAGACCTTATGTCAATGATCGCACAGATCCTACACAAACGCGTGAGCTCAAAGAGGTCCAGTAGCTCGTGCTGCATAGATCCGTTGCCAGGAGACTTCACCATTCGCGAGTCCTCATACCCCGGGAGCTGGTAGGACCTCCCCAGATCGGTACCCCTGATCTCGAACAACAGCGCGCGCCATTGAATGTTATGAGGTCACACTCATGAAAGGCACAGCTCGACACCTGCAGCGGGCTCTGCAGCAGGCCTCGGCCCCCTTGCGAGAGTCCCAGGCACTGCCCCCCGACACCCTGACACGGCAGAGCATGGCCATCCGCCAGGCGGGGGGCACCGGGTTTCCGGCCAGTGCCGACAGCCTGGCCTATGACTCCAGTCAGTCCCTGCTCGTGGTGGGTGCCGCACAGATGGCTGCTCATGGCCAGTGGGGGATCAGAGGACTAGGCGACGTAGGGTGGAGGGTTGGCTTGCGCGCCTATGCAGCAGGCAGTGAAGCCCATCCTCCAGATGACTCCCTGATCAATCTCAATAGCCCCATTCTCATCACAGGTGGGCACCAGCGACGGCAGGATCAAGCTGATCGGGGCCCTGGGTGTGGAAGCTGTCCTGCAAACGCCGTCGCAGTCTCCCACCTCCTACCTGGCTTTCCTGGCCAACAGGGGCGCCATCCTCCGCGTCACCCAGGTAGGGTGACATCTGACCCCCCATGCTCTGGTTGTGCCTTGCTCTGGCACTTGACCCCTCTCTGGTGCATCTGTGTGATTTTGGTACTCACATTTGCAATCCACCCACTGCAGCTGGGCGACATCCAACTGTTCAGCATAGACTCCTTCAAGCTTGTAGCTTCCACGTGGCTGCAGGGCGATGCCATTACGGCAGTCACACCCCTGCCCTCAGCCCCATACCTGCTCATAGGTGGGTGATGTTGTGTCTGGTGAGGGTGGAACACTGGCAGAAGCACTCGATTTGTGGCCTGTATGAGTGTCCCCAGCACTTGAAGATTGAGATGCGAACGAGGACCAGTGGCACCTACCGGGTGCATCTGCCCTGCTTCTTTGTGTATCCCAAGCCCCTGACGGCCTTTTGCCACCGCATATCGGCACAGGCTGCGAGAGTGGGGCTGTGAGAACCGCTGCGCTGCTGGGGGAAGACGGCCAGCCCGCCCCCGAGTCTTCACCAGTCCTGGATGTGTCTCTTCGCAAGTACACCAGTGAGTGGCAGTGTTTGGGTCTGATTTGTATGGTCACCCAGGCAACCTATTCGTGGGCAGATGTGAGCTTTTGGAGTTGTTCTAGGTAATATCAGATCCCCAACCTCCCCCGCTGCCTCCCTCTCCTCGGCAGTAACACCCAGTCAAACGGGCGGCAGAGGCCCTGTTGTGGCCCTGGCCACCGCTGCGCACGTGCCGGGCCTGCCGCTGCTCCTCCTCGTGTACCGCGACTCCGGGGCTGTGGTCTGGGACATCAGGTGGCTTTTGGAAATTGGGAATGGAAGCTATTTGGGGCGCAACAGAATGGGCCGGGGCCTGTCGGCTTGTGCTGCTCGCCATGCCTTCCCCCCCAGACATCGTGGCCAGCGACCCTCCGATGCGCCTCGTCCTGTGCAGGGCTCAGCGCGTGCTGTGCGCTGGTGGGGACCCCGGGGACAAGGAGGTGCTGCCCACCGCGGCCTGCTGGCTCGGGGACCAGGCCGACGGATTCGTGGTGCGGGGATGCCGGGGCGGGAGGCGCGAGGGTTGGTCGGGGACCCCCCTGCCCGTGCCGCGTGCGCGTGTCGTGGCTGGACAGACGCGCAGCTGCAGGGCCGGCTGGAGGAGCCTGTAGGGAGGTGGGCGTCGCCGGCAACGGCAAATGGGGCTGGAGGTCTTTCCTGCCAGCCACCCTGACCGGCTCCAAACCCCTCGCAGATGGGCTACGATAACGGCGCCATCGCAGTGCACGCCCTGACCTCGGGTGCCTGGGCGAGGGGCACCCAGGCAGGCGCTGCGCCCCCGTCGACGGAGGTCGTGGCACACCTGTGCAAGGGCAGCCACCGCTCTGGCCCCATCCTCTCCCTGGCGCTGGTGCTCGGTGCGAGGGGCTCTGCATGCATGCTGGGATTCCTCGATGGGGTTGCCGGCCCGGCCGCGCATGGTCAGACACAGAGAATGGCTGGCAGACCAGGTGCAGGAGATGGTGACCCCGGCCATTCTCGAACACAGCCTGGTTAAAGACCACCCTCCCGGCGCAGGCCTGGAGGACCTGGGCCCCTGCCTGCTGGTGCGAGGCGGGCAGGACATGGGCGAGCCCGACATGCTTTCCTTCCTGCCCCTGCAGCGCAGCCGGGGCCCCGCCAAGCTGGTCCCCTGGTTCGGCGCGGTCCAGGGCCACGCCCTGGTGAGGAGGGCCCTGCGGCGGCCCGCCGTGAACTCTGGGCACCGTCTTGTTCGGGGCATGCGGGCGCGTGGATGCTGGCGGCGCCTTTCTGGCCAGGGTTTTGCAACTAGTCTTCATTCCCCGGTCATGACAGGACGAGTATATAAGAAGAGGACGATTCTCATCACCACTCACTGCCCTCATTCCCACCCTAGGTGCCCCGCCTGGGGTCGCTGGCCCGTGATCCAGAGGCCCCGCTGTCCCTCCTGGTCCTCACGGAGGGCGGGCAGCTGGTGGTGCACGACCTCGCCACCTGGCAGCCCATGCCGCTCACCCTGCCGTTCCAGGTGCCTGCCTGGTTCTGTCCCTGGGGAGTGAGGGTTGGGGTGAGAGCAGCGCTCGCCCCCTCATCATCTCTTCACCAGTGAAGCACTCAGCTGCATCCCTCTCCCCCCTCCTCCCATCCTGCCGCAGGAGCTGCCGCCCGTCACGGTGAGCCTGCTGGTGCCGACCCTGGGTCCCTCCCACACACACGGGCTGACCCTGGAGGCGGTGCGTGGGTGCAGCAGGCGGCACGCGGGTGGCGGCGCGGCCTTCGCCCCGGGGCCAGGAGACTGGCCGTTCACGGGGGGCCGGGCGGCGCTTTTGGACCCCGGCGCCGCGGCCGCAGGGGCACACCCGGCCGGACTGCTACTGACCGGGCACAGAGACGGTCGGGTCAGGGTCTGGGATGCTGTCGCACAGGTCAGCGGGGGGTGCAGGAGAGGAATGTGGAGTTTTATTGCTGGGGGTTGAGGTTGACCGCGGCATCAGACTGCAACGGGGTCCATCACTGTCTGTCTTGGAGGGCCTCCTCGATTCCATCGAGGTGCTGGTACCTCCAGGTGCCCAGCGCAACTACCCGCCGACCTGCGCTCTGCGACCTCCAGCCACGCTCCTCCTTGACGTTCCTCATCAGGTGCCGGAGCTGCTGATGACGGTGCCAGCCTCCTCTGGGGCCGAGCGCCTGCACGCCGTCACCGCCATCGAGGTGGGTGGGTGGCTGCATGTGCTGGCTCAGTCTGGGTGTGGTAGGGATGGGACCAGGAGGCGTCGATGGCCATGCGACGAAGCATTGCCCCTCACCTGCCTTGCAATGCCGAGGTGACGGAGTGCACCCTGAATGGCAGGACACGCAGTGAGGTTGATCAGGGCGCTCCTCTGGGGCTGCCCCGCATCCAGCCAACCGCTCCGCCTGACCCATCAGTGCATCGCCCTCACCCCCCACCCCCCTCACACTCCAGGCCTGGCCCGAGGCTGGGCTGGTGGCCGTCGGGTACGCCGGCGGAAAGGTGCACATCTTCCAGTTCTGCCCCACCTCCCGCGTGACCAACCGGGTGAACCTGGATGAATCAGGCGTGCCCTACAGCCATGTGTCTCATCAGGTACGCCATGGGGACTGGGTTGACAGCAAGTGGAGGGCAGTGTTTGTCTACAACTGTGGTGTGAGGAGGGGGGGACGTGTGTGTGTTGACGGCGTTTCGGCGGCTCGCTTGCACACGGCATCGCCCGCCGACCACTCTGCCGCTGTGACCTTTGCTTTCCCCTGGAAAGCTTTGCATGGGCTCCCCCACTCAACCTCTGAAACCCCAGTTCTCCAAAGCCCAAATCAACCCATCCCACCCCCCCTTGCCTCACCCCATGACAGCCCCCTGGCTTCCAGTACATCCTGCGGTACAGCCGCCACACCAGCGACATCGCGCTGCTGGCCCTGGTCAGGGCCGAGGCCCGGCTCGCGGTGGTGGACGCCGCAGGCCTCGTCTCGCACCTGGACATCTCTGTCCCCGCGCAGGGCGGCGAGCTCGCCGCCTCGCCGCTGGGGCCCCTGTCCCACCTCCTCCCCTTTTTCGAGCTCGGAGCGGAACACAGGTGCTGGGAAGGGGTACAAAGTGGTGCTGGGAAGGGGGGATCAGATGCTCCTGTGGGCCGGCCCTTGCCTGATTGGGTCCCGAGTTTCAATGCCGGGTCACAGCGACATGGGCATGGCTGCACCGCCTGTGGCGCCGGCCTTGGCTGTACTCACCCCGGTCCGATGCCGCGGTCGCAGGGCGCTGCGGTACTTGGCGGTGGCACGCGACGGCGCGCTGTGCCTGCTGGGCCCTCACCCCAGCAGCCCCATGCTCGCCGGCCCTCTGCGCCCCAAGTCCGAGGCCCGCCCCCTCATGGCCACCCTCCTGGGTGTCGACGGCCGCATCCTCCGCGAGCGTGAGCTGCCTGCGCCTGGGTGTTCTGGCCTGATGAATGGATCTGCTGTGACTGAGATGGAATGAAGGGCCACTGGGCTGGGCAGGCCC